CGAAGCTCACCATATGGAAAACTTGATGTCGACGTGGACGCAAAATATACTCTTATCCCCGGTTATCAAACTGGGACCCTAAGGGAGGAGAAGTAAATATGTGTGAACAAATAATGTAATCCACCGCAGAGAGGAGCAGAAAAAGAATCTAAGTATTCCCTTTCTCTCTGGCATGCGTCTAATTCCCTGTTTCCCTATGAGAAGAATTGCTTTTTTGGGGGGAAATCTCTTTTTGGAGACTAAGAAAATTAAGGTACTTAGTGGTTAAAACAATATTATTTTTTTACATTAGTAAAAATAGGGGCTTCATAGCTCAACTTGTTAATAATGAAATTAATAGAGGCAACTTTGCACCCATGTTTCTCTGTGCCAGATCCATCACACAGGGTTTCTATGAATACAGTTGGATGAAATTTAGAAGCCATTCTTTTTTTGCATTTGAGATCTGAAAACGTAGACAGCTTCCAATTGTCGATGAGTCTTCCGTAATCCTCTTTCGGGAAAGTGAACTACAAGCAGTACAGGGTTTAGGTTCTGGATAAAGGTCAAGGGCTGAGACAAGGATGGCACTCAAGCACTCATCCCTCACCTAATCCATCAAAGACCTGAGTAGTCACACTCTGTGTGATGAGTAATTAGCTGAAATATAAAGTAATAGAATGTCTAATCTTTCATCATAGTTGAGAGTAGACAGGAATGCATGAGATGAGTGTTGGATGTGATAACATTTAATTTTGTTCAAGATGTTCATGAAAACTTCTGTATTCTTCGATTTGTGACATCCTGTCAAATTCCACCGTTCTCTATCTTGGAACAATGCATACTGTTCTCACAATTCCTTTAAGGAGCTAACCTCCTTCTGGATTTGTCTCACTCGTATAGAGTTACCTGAGCTTGCTGAAATAGTCAATATATTTTAACGGACGAGATTCTTAATGAATATAATTAGGAAATGTTTCCTAATACATAGGACAAATAAAGGGGGGAAAAAGACGATTTTATACTTTGGATAAGAAATACACAGACTCACAGTAGGAGCCTGGAATGTTACTTGAATTGTGTGAGAGCTGGAAGGAAACAATGAACAGAGAATGGTAAGGAATGAAAAGGAGAGGACGTAGTCTTAGGTGGGAGCTTGAGACACCCAGGTAACTGGTTGGGTACGAAGAACTTGAAGATACAATGGCAAATAGTCAAACTGTTGGTGAGAAACATATTTATCCAACTAACTTAGACTTGTACACAGTGGAATGCAAACTGGTGGTAAAACCACAAGAAGGAGCTCACGCAAAGCTCGGGAAAGAGAAAAGCGGGGTCCACGGAGCCGGCTGTGACAGGCTGTCCTATCTTAACAGTCATTTATGGTCTTTGGGACAAGAACATGCCAGTTTGTGCAAGTGTATGGAAACAAAATGGTGAAAAGGTCTCACCGATGCTAAGCACAACACAAATACGAAATTGATGATCTCTGGGAAATTGATTCCTGCTCGGCTGTTGCTCCTTCAGGTAGAGTTGCTTACGTAATAAAGAGCAGATTTCTTCAATGACGTTAGGGTGTTAAAGAGCCAGAACTGAGCCCAGAAGATATGAAGATCTAATGGGCTTTATTAAGCAATTCCATCTAGAAGAGAGAGCAGGGCGCCAAGGAATCGTACAAAATTCATGGTTTTTATAGGAAGGAGGGTGGGACAAGAAAGACGTCAGTGAATGGAAAGAAAGGACTGTTCCAGGTAAGGCCACCCTTCCTTAGGGTTAAGGGCATGAGGCATTATTAGGTGGATTAGCTGCCTCTGGGGAACGTGGAGGGCCCGGAGACAGGTCACCTCATGGGCGCTTCTCAGGAACTTCCTGAGGAACCAGTTAAGACTTCCACGTCAGGGGAGGTGGAGATTACAGGTAGCTGGTGTGAAGCCCCAGTTTGGTGACTTGGCCTAAGGGGTGCCATTTGGGGCCTGCGGTTTCCCTTAACAAGGGAAAAGGGATTGAACATGAGCATGCACGTTCTGAGTACTTAGAAAAGCATGAACCAGTCGTGAAGAAGGCCTCTGCCCTAGAGCTGGGGCATCCCTCACCTCACCCGCCTGGTCTTTCTCTTGCTTCCTTCCCTCCCTGGCTCCTGGGGTCCGCACGCTCTCGCTCACCACCATCCTCTCTCACCTGGCTGTCTCGACACCATCCCCTTGCACGCACCATGAGCTGCCTGCCCTTCCTCCATCTCAGCGTGTTAGTGAAGACGTGGGCACTTACTGTATACTTTTCCTATAGCTCTTAGTTCAAGTGCTTAAAGAAGTAATCTGACCGGCTGAGCTTACCCCCACCTGGGCAGAGCCCGTAGTTAGCCCAAACAAGATCAGTGTCTATCCTAATCCCCCAACAGCCAACTCTCCTCAACCATCAGGGTAAGAAGGGATCGTTGAATGTGCTTGAGGGGCAGGATATGAGGTAGTAAGGGATGGTGACTATGTCGCCAAAGTTCCTTGTTAAACCTGAGGTTTTAGCACACAGCAAAGCATTATTTTGGTGTGAAATACAGACTTTGTGGAAAGGAGCACAAAAGAGTAAACATCTGTGCTTTGAAGTCAGACCGCGTGATTTGAATCAGAGCCCCACAAGCTGTACTTACTCTTCCCAAACCTGTGAAATGGCCGTTGAGAGGGAGTGGAATTTGTCACCCCAAAATATGCCTCTTTGGCATCCAGGATTGTTTTAGGCTGGATTTTTTTGGTTTGCTTTGGGTTTTTGTTCTTGTTCCATTTTTTTTTTTTTTTTTTTTTTGCCAAAGTAGAAAGATAGAACATGTTTTATGTAATATTTCATTGGCTTCTTATGGCTTTATTTAAATTTCTTTAATTGACGTATAGCTGACACTGTTACCTTAGTTTCAGACGTACAACAGAGCGATCGATTGTCATGCTCTACACACGTGTCGCCACCCACCGTCTGTCACCACACAGCAGCATTACGACACCATTACCTATATTCCCTGCACCGAACCTTTGATTCCCCGAGATTTATTCATTCCATAACTCAACGTTTGGATTTCCTACTTAGTGTGATTATTTTGTGGAAAATGACAGACATAGGAAAAGCTTCAGAAGTGGAGCAGTTACCCTTTTCTAAGGGACATTCATGTTTCCAAGAGAGATCTCCATCTGTACAGGTGTCCCCTTCTCTGCAGCAGGAAGAGGAAAACAACTAAATCTCTAGAAATAACAATGGGGAAGGCAAAGACTTAAATTTGCATAGCAACCCAATCTTGGGTACTGTCTTCTCCCCAGAGGCCCCCAAAACTGGATCACCCATCCTCCAACATTATTTTTTGTCTTTAGAGATGTTTAAGGCGGTGGTTTGGGCCACTACAAGGAGTTATTCAGTTTTCCTAGATATCTCCCATGTGTGCAGGAGGTATACATGTTATTAGACTTCAGTTTGTTTTTCTCCGTCAATCTTTTATTGCACATTGGTCTCAGCCAAGAACCTAGAAAGGTACAGGGAAAATTACTTTTTCTCTCCTCCACCATAGTCAGGAAGGAAGAATTTTCTTGGTCCTTTGGGGTCCTTCTAGCTGCTATAAGAATTAAATTGACATGAGACAGATTAATGGGAGAAAATCACATTAATTTTCTGCATATGGCTAATCCACAGGCATGGAAATTCTAAAGAAAGGCCAAATAAGGTATGTGTTATTCTGAACTAAGAGGAAGAGAGTAAGGGTCTAGGACTTCAAAAGAAAGGATTGCAACTCACTGGAAGATGGAAGAAAAAAGAGCAAATGTCTTGTAAGCAAACGTTTGCAGGACCGTCAGAAACAATGAGACCTCGTAGACTGATCCCACAGGACATGCTGGGTTCCTCTCTCCCTGCGGTGCCTGGTTCAAGTCCCGCCGTGCTTACGTCCAGCGCTAGCTCCGGTCCTGGAGCAGGTCTTCTATCTCCGTTCTTTTAGGCGATTGTGGGGGAGGGAAGTAGGCTTTTCTGAATCTGCTGGGGTTTGGTTGCTTTTCACTTGACCTCTTACAGCGGTCTTCCTGCCGCAGGGGGCGGTCTTGGGGTGGCCTGCCCTGGGCACCCACCTACAGAGGAAGGACCTTCTGCACAAGCTGGATGAGGGAACCAGACGGTAATCTCTGTCTAGGCACCTCGTAGTCACTCGATGCACAGGAGCGATGTCTATATTACAAACAGAGGAAAAGTCAGCCCTTACCCAGAGATGACAGGAGTGAGGCAAAGGAAGGTGAAGGCACAGAGGCCGGGGAGCAAAAAAGGCGAAGGCGTACAGACAATGCGGAATGGGAAACACAAGAAAGTGATGGGTTTGCGGGTCAGATGAGCTACGCCTCCAGGCCCCCGGTGGCCCCCGGTGGCCCCCGAGCCGCGCGGCCGCATCCGCAGGAGCACACTCACGGCTGGCCTCGGGGACAGCAGCCCTCGGAGGGCAGCGGGCGCGCCTGCGGCCTTGCCAGTGGCGGAAGCCGTGGGTTCCCCACACTCCGACGGCCGCACACGCGGGTCAACGTCGGGGGTTCGCCGCGCGGGGGGGCTGTCGGGGTGCTTCTGCGTCCACACCCGCGCGTCCGGGTCAACCCACTCGTTCCTCCTATCAGACCCGGGGCTTTGATTATCGTAGGGAAGGAGACAGAGGCGCAGGGAGGCCTCAGAGTGGGCTCGGGCCGCGCGGCTGCCCACCCCCCGGGGCAGGGCTCAGGGCCCAGCGGCGGCCGCGCCACGGGCGGCCTCTCTGACCACAGGAAGGCGCCGCGGGCCTCAGACTCTTCCATTGCTGTAGAGATAATGTGGAGAGAATAATGTGAAGAAGAAACAAACGGGGGGAACGTGCATTTTGCTGAGGGACGTTGCGGTGATAAAGAGACGCTGCTCAGGAAATCCCTGACTCTGGGGGGTGGGGGTGCTCCTGTGTCTTGAACTGATTGCAGCAGGAGCCCCAGGAAGTGCAGGCAAGAGCTAAGAGCCGCTCCAGGGCGGTCCCGGGCTGTTGCCCTTGTCCGGCCCAGGGGAGCAGAGCCTTGCAGAGGGCCTGGCGCGGCCTGCGGGCGGCCAGGGTGGCCTCGGCAGGAAGGCGGGCCTCCGGCCTCCAGCGCAGGAGCCTCTGGCTGCAGGCCAGCAGCCCGGGATCCGATCCTGGAGCCGCCCAGGGGAGGACGCAGAGGAGGTAACCCCCCTCCCACGCCTGCCTGCCAGGGAGCAGTAACCCCAAGCCACTGGGAAAGCAGTCTTTCCAAGAACTTTCCGCGAGGCTCTGCTGGTGAGTAGGTGGCAGCGTGCCCTCGGGCCTGCTGTCTTGCTGGGAGGAGGGTGCTGGGAGGCCCGGCTGGGGGCTGGGGGAGGCCCGGCCTGGCCGGGGCTAAACACAGTGAACCTCTATTTCTATGCAAACGAGGTGCTCAGCACTGTCTTCTTAGGCAAATACGCGTGCGTGCCCTGACCCCGTTGTCGGAGGGTGGCCCGAGGCGGCCTTTCTTATGCTTTTCAGCAGTTCTTGGCTAATTGTGTCTGTTTCATTGGAATTTTCTGAAGACTTGCTTTCCTTTTGAAATACCCTTTATTAACACATAAGGGCGTGTGATGAAGACACTGGCCGGCATGTCTAAAGAACCTTCTGGTTATTGCTTTGAATTGTTGATAGTTACAATGCAGCGTGGACATTAGGATCCTTGTAATCAAAAGGAGGTATTTTATGTCTACGGCACCTCATCTCTCTAAGGAAACGCGCTGCAAGCCTGCAGGGACCGAAGCTCAGGTTCTAAGATGCTGAATCAGAAGATGCAAGAATTCCTTTAAGTTAGTTAGAGTATTAGGTCACATACCTACGTGACGCGCTGTCGCCCTCACGCTGGCTATGCAATGACATTAAAATTTGCTCCTGGTAGTAAGCAGAAGTCCATGGTGTCGAGGTACACAGCCGCGGCACGAGAGCGGGGCAAGGCTGTTTAATTAGGGAGACGCTCACTTGTGTATCACCAAAAAACGAAAGCCAAGAGCAGCGCCATGTAGGAAAAGAAGAGGAAAAGATAAGCAAGAGCCACACTGAGTCACAGTGCTCTGGAAATTAGCCACAAAATGACTTGGTAAATTGGGTGATAAACACAAAGGGCACAAGCCAGCAGGAAGCCTACAGCCGGGACTGAGAGCTGACCCTAAGGGCTCCGTAGTTAGGCCAGCAGGGAAAGGTGTCAATTCTGATACATTGCAAAGTTTTTAAACCTAAGCAAATCCTTTCCTGAAACATTTTTAGAATTTTTTTTTTTTGTCGTTCATCATTCTACAGATGATGATTTCAAAACATTGTTATCTGTGTCTCATCTAATCTTTAAGCGAAAAAGTCAATCATGTCCCAAAATGGGTTGGAGCGGGCAATTGACTTTAGAGCCTACAGGTCAGTAAAATGATATAAAATATTCATAGGGATCAACAGAGATTAAAACTATTAATGTAAACACATAATTAGCATTATAGAGGTAAAACTTTACAATACTAACAATTTTTTTTTTTTTTTTTTTTTTTTTTTTTTTTTTTTTTACTTCTAACAATTTGAATAGTTACACTAGGAAACCAAATTTGTTTTTAGGTGAGTGACCGGAGACAGCGTCTTGCTGGAGAACTTTAATGACACACCCATTACTATTTGGTTCCTCTTTCTATAAGGTTTGCTGAGCGGCACAAATTTTGTTTTGTTTGTGTTTTTTTAGAGGTGTAGTCTGATGTCTTTAAGAATTTGTTTTATCTCCAAGGATTAGATCAAAATTGCTCTGGGAAATGTGGTTTGTGTCCAAATGAAGTATGCCCTCATTGTGCTTGCCGGTCTGCTTGTAACTCTAGGCTTCACTTGCTTGTTGGTCATAGAACTATTTTGACTAGAACCTTCTATGAAAAACATTTCTGCCAAATTTAAAAATAAAATAATCTATGAAGTGGGAAATTGGTTTTGAATTAATTCATAGTTTTCATGATATTAACTTACTCTTTTCTTCAGAATTAATTTCCTGATCTTTGATCTATATTATTCAAATTCAAATAATTGGACAAGATGGCTAACTACGGGAAGAAAAGACCAAGTTCAAAGGGCTTAACTTATTCCCAGAATACATAGCAACTAACCAAATAATAAATGTGTTCTTTATCCTTTAGAAATGGTTGGTTTAAATTCAGTGTGTACAAACTTTTAATTTATGAGATTTCACCTCATGTCATTACCCTTTTAGCAAAAAGTAAGTAAGTAAATAAATAAATAAAGCAAGCCAAGTAAACATTCTTGCAAAAAAAAAAATGTAAAGGGCAGGAAAGGCAAGATGAAAAGGGAAGGGGATATTAGACTAGGATTCTCAAAAGTATTTATTAGTATACTTTGGATTAGTTGAATGTTGATATTGGTTAAAATAAGTTAATTGTATTGCCAATTTATTTTTGCTATGTAGACGTGATTAAGGAAATATACTATAATGTAATTCACCTATTTCAATTGAAGTTATCTCCAGCCCCCTTCCTTTTTTGTTTTCCATTTAAAATATTTAATGTGGGAAATTAATTTACAGAGTTGTCTTCTTAAAAACATTTATACCTTTTATAGAAATATACCAATACTAAAATTCTTTCTGATTTTTTTTTTCCCTTTGGAGAAATCTGAATTCAAGAGTGACTATTGAAGTCCTTGTTTCTGAATATCAAATCTCACCAAAATGAAGAAAGGGTGCAAGTTCTTTCAAAAAGTTCTTTCATGCTAGACCATCTCTACTGGGACTCTGAGATCTTCAATGACTGGTTTCTGGGTGTGATGTGTCATTTCCAGGAGTCCAGTCTTCTCATTACTCCTCTTTCCTTGTTTTCACTTTTTCTCTAAGTGGCGGTATCTCCTAGAATCAGAGCTTAAGATTCAACTACCAAAAGGTTGAGGGCAATTTAGTGTTTTCCACATGTCTTCTTTCCAGAACCAATGACAAAAAAACACTGGACCCATGTCTAATCTGCTCTGTTCATCTCTCTTCAGGCCCTCCTTTGGGATTCTTTCTTTTTCTTTTTTTTTTAATTAAAGATTCCTTTTATTTATTCATGAGAGACACACACACACAGAGAGAGAGAGAGAGAGAGAGAGGTAGAGGGAGAAGCAGGCTCCATGCAGGGAGCCCGACGTGGGAATCGATCCTGGGACTCTGGGGTCACACCCTGGGCCGAAGGCAGATGCCACACCACTGAGCCACCCGGAGATCCCACCTTCTTTGGAATTCTATGTTCTCTCTCACTTGGAACAAGTGTGTTTTCAAACACATTTGAAATTTATTTTAAAAACAAAAGAGTAAAAGGACACTATGGTCCATAATGAAGTCCCAGCGATGCAATACTTCTATCCCAATAGTTTCATCTGCTGGGCCACAGTTTCCTGAGGTATCATGGACTTATTGCAAGGAATTCCCAAATCAAAATGTAATGGTAGCATTCTCTCTAGACTGAATACATATTATATGTTGTTGATTAGGCTATTTTGACATCAGAAATGTGAAAGTATCAGTCAATATGGCACTAATAAAATGCAGTGTTTTTATCACCAAGCATAATGTGCCATGGACACCCTTCAACTGTAACACAGCTTCAGCACCACCACCAGCACTCTGCTGCCAGGCTCAGTTTCTCTCTCTATTCATGATTCTTATCAATGCTAACCTATCCTTGAATCCCATAAGAACCCATCTCTAAGCATCACCTCATTCCACAAGGCTTAATAATGGAGTGAATCTCAGTAATTGGTTGAGTCTTAAGAATAATAGTGTTTATTGTAAAATTTTGATCATGTTTTTTAAGGCTCATTTAGGAAACTTCAAAGTATCTCAGAAAATGAATCAAAATGATTATTTCAAACTGTCATATGCCTACTCTTGCTCTTTTTGTACCAACTATTTTCAAATATGCATGAATACAAAATGAATGCATTTCTGATTCATGCTATATGAATAAACCCTGAGAACATTATGCTAAGTAAAATAAACCAGACACAGTAGAAGATTTAGTGTATAATTCCATGTGTATATCCAGAATAGACATAGTCACAGAGCCAGAGAGTAGATCAGAGGTTACCAGCCTCTAGAGGATGGGATGAATGGTGAGTTATTGCTTACTGCATACAGAGTTTCTGTTTGAGGTGATGAGAAATTTCAGACATTGATAGTGGTGATGATTGTACAACATTGTGAATATAATTAATGACACAGGGTTGTGCACTTAAAAATGGTTAAAATAGCATATTTCATGGTGTATCTACTTCACTACAATAAAAATAGTAAAACTATTAATAAGACTTCAGTTTGAAGAATTCTAGATTCCTAATGATATTCCCTTTACATTTTCTCAATCAATAGACTCGAAGTACAAATATTATAATGTTAGATACCTGAATTTTTAAAAATCAAAACAGGTCTTCCTGTTTTGTTTCCTGATGAAAATTGGAACATATTTTTACCTAATATTGCTGTACTGGAGGCTAATGTTTTTCAGTCATATTGTCTTCTTTGGTTTTGATACCAGGGTAATTCAGGCCTCACAGAATGAGTTGGCAAGTATTACTTCCCTTTTGGTAAATTTTCTGGAGTGGTTAATATAAAATTTGTAGCATTTTTTTTTCTTTAAATGTTTGGTGGAATTTGCCAGTGAAACCATCTGGGACTGAAATTTTCTTTGTGGAAAGGTATGTAATTACAAAATTCAATTTTAAAAAAGTAATTATAGGACTATTCAGGTTCTCTATTTCTTCTTGAGTGAGCCTTGGTAGTTTCTGTCTTTCAAGAAATTGGTCCATTTACCTAAGTTGTCAAATTTATAGGCATAAAATCGTTTATAATATTTCCTTATACTAGAATCTATAATGATGTGAAACCTCTACTTCCTGACATTAGTAATTTGTACCTTCTCTCTTCTTTTATCAGTCTATATCAAGGTCTTTGCACTTTTAACTTGTGTGTTTGTTTATAAAATGGTAATTGGCTGATGAGCATTAAGGAGGGCACTGGGTATTATTCACAACTTGATGAATTATTGGACTCTACATCTGAAACTAATGATGTACTATATGTTGGCTAATTGAATTTAATTCAAAAAAACAAAATGGGCTTTTAGGCAACATATAATTTGGTCTTGATGTTTTGTTCAATCAGGCAATATTTGCCTTTTTTTTTTTTTTAAAGATTTTATTTGTTTGAGTGTGTGTGTGTACATCCACTGGAGTGTGGGGAAGGGCAGAGGGAGAGAAAGGGAGAGAAG